GCGGCGTCCGACGCTTGCGTCCTCCTCGCCCTCCTGTCCCCCCTCCTTCTTGGCGACAGCGCGGCCCATCGCCGAAAGCAGCGGCGTTCTGGCGGGCAGGCAGAAACCTGAAGGTTGTGTGAGGGGAGAGGGCGCATGCGCATTCAATATTTGTATTCGTCGGCTTTCCCTGCAACGGCAGAGCAAAGACAAGCCATGCGCGAATCTGATTTCTACTTTTGCTCGCATTAATTTTGCTCTCCGCTATGCTTGTCAGACGGCCCTGCGCAAGAATGCCTATTGATTATTTCTCGATGCGAGCGACGTTTTTTGGAGTTGCACCATGCGCTGGCGCCTGGGATTTGCCAGGCGGTCTGGTGCAGGCGTGCTTGTCACTGCTTTATTGATCACCGTTCGGGCCCTGCTCACGAAAAAGACATGCTTACCCATCCCGCAAAAAATCGGTTATGCACGGGCCGCAGGTCAGTTAGCAAGGCTAATTCACATGGGCTACTGAACGTGAGCTCAAGAATCTCGCAGAGTACTTCAAGGGAAACTGGCGGCCAGGGAACACAGCTATCCTCAGGCCCAGAGGTATAGCGGCTTCAATGACGTTGGCCCGTCGGCGGCCATCCGTCCGCCGGCTTCGCATGAAGACGAACGCTGAACCATCGAGACACCATCGAGACACCGCCGGGACTTCATCGGGGCACCATCGGGACATCATCGGCGGATGTGGCAGAAGCTTGTAGAGCCGAGCGCGGCAACCGATGGGCACTGCGAGTATCAGAATGCCCAGACGGCCCTGATTCGTCGGGAGTGTGTCGTTGTTCGTGCCACTGCTCGCAATCGTTCTCTCCCTAACTCGGCCCTCCCGCTCCCTGTCGGCTCTCTTCGTTCGTCTCTCTCCCCAGTTCTGTTCCTTTGTCCTCCCATTATTTTTCCTCATCCCCTCCTATCGTTCCTCTCCCTCTGTTGCGTCGCCGTCGTCGTCGTCGTCGTCGTCGTCGTCGTCGTCGTCGTCGTCTCTCTCTCTCTCTCTCTCTCTCTCAATCGTTTGCCTCCCTGCTGTCCCTTCTTAGTTTGCCTCCTCGCTCCTCCCTGTCTCCCCAGTTTTCTGCAGAGGTGGCAAGTGAATCGCTCGCATACCCAACGAGCAACAATCACTGCACACGCGACAAACCATGCAAACTAGTGAGGTTAGCATCGCTGCCGTAGTGGATGAGAGGCGCAAGGAAGTCATCTAGACCTGCCATCATAGGAGCTTCAAGTTTCTCCCACGTGCTAGACCACCTGGACTTGGACGAGCATTTAAAGGGATGCACTGCGGCATATGCAACCCCCGAGCTGCTACCGAAAACAGCACTCAGGCGATGATCCAGCCTGCTGACAGCTGCTTCAGAGCAACGACATCGCCGATCCAGGCAACGTCGTTAAAACGAGTCTTCGATGCAGCGAAATGCTCTACAGCACCGAACGTCGAACCCAAATTTTATGTCAAGCGCTTGGTGGGGGCCTTCGGTTCGACCAGGCCCGTCGACAATCGAGCCAACTAGCATGCTTAAGGCTGTGCATACTCTCTGAGATGACCTCCCTGATGACACCTCTGGTGTCCTTCATGTGATCCTCTGCGTGCCTCAGGACAAACTTGTGTTTCCTTTCCATCTTGAGAGCCCCGCGGGACCATCCCCAATGAGAAATGTATTGGGGATGGTGAAGTATTCAGTGGGATATCCAAACCATCGGGTCCCGAAGGCACGAATGTATGCATTCAGGAGATTTATAGTTGCCGTCGCGACACTTTGAGCAGACACCCGAAAATTTGCACACTTCCACAGCTGCGCAAAAGGGAGCATGAATAGACAACACTTCCGAGCAAGAACTTTCCCACGATTGGCGTTTCCAACTGCTATCGCATCGCTTCACTGAGGACATACTCACGCCTGTGTTGGATGTGCTGTGTATCCTGCTTGGCCACTTGTACATTTCAAGATATGCAAGGCGATGTTTCGACTTGATGCCAGACTGCCCAATTGCATAAAAAAACGTGTTATTCTGTCGAACCCCAGACTCCAGACAAACTATTGTGCACCCAGTCAAAGGTGTTCTGGGACGCTGGGTCCACAATGCGCTTGAGGTGCGGATCCGAAACAAATTTGCAAGGTGAGTAGTTCCAGTCCGTATCGATCTTATACTTTTTGAACGCTATTTTCCCCACGTCGCTTTCTTCTCAGCGAGGTCATCCGCCAAAACAGTTATGGAAGCCTTGGTGTGGAACGCGCACTTGCTCAGGTCAGTGGCTGAGGTGTAGTCCTGAAGCAGGGTGCCCTCCCCGAGCTTATCTGCCCCCACCCAGTTGCGGTTGACGATGTTGAGGCATTGGCAGCAGCGTTTGGTTCCCACGTTGCCCTTGCAGAGCCAAGGGTTGGTGCAACCCAGACTCGTCACCGAGAACGCTTGTCAACGTGGCAACGAAGTTGGCGGAGGAGCCGTCGGGGAAGTCCATCGTCATGCCACTGAACATCAGATTGTGGGCTTCAGGGTTGAACATGCGACGCAAGATACAGCCCACGACCACGACCACAAATGTGGGGCCAGGGCGTCGTCTTCCTTTTATATATATATATATATACATATATATATATATATATAATGCATTGAAAAAAAAAGTGTTTCAGCGACCCGGGGCCAACGGGGCCCCAAGAGGCTGCAGGGAGGCCCCAGGAGGCCGCAGCGATGGCTCCAGACGCCTTTCAAGACGATTCCCATAACGCCAAGAAGGCCCCCGAAGGCACCGAAGACGCCCCAAGAGGCACCCCGAGAGAGGCCCAATCAGCAAGCATAGTCGATTTCCCATGGGAAACTTACAGTTTTGGCGCATTTGCCTTTTGGGCGTCCACTGCGTCCGAGACGACCCAAGAGGCACCCAAGACTGCCCCACAGGCCCCCAATATGGCTCTAAGAGGGTCCCAAGACGGCCCGAGAGGCACCCAAGACAGCCCAAGAGAGCCCCAGGACGAGCCCCAGAGGGGTCCCAGAGGTGAACAACCATATTCAAATTCCGAACTTTCGGCCCCAGAAGCCCCCCAGGAGGCCCCAAAAGGTCCCCAGGAGGCCCCAAGAGGCCCCCCAGGAGGCCCCCACGAAGGCCCCGAAAACGCTCCCCGAGGCGCCCCGAGAGAGCCTCAATAGGCGTCCAAGACGGCCCAAGAGGCACCCAAGACGGCCGAGGATACCCCCAAGAGGGCTCCAAGACGGCCCACGAGGGGGCTAAGACGGCCCACGAGACGCCTAAACCGCTCAACGACGCCCCAAGTCGGCGCCCAAGACGGGGACGAGGAGCCGAACATGCAAGCAATTTGGCCCAAGAGGCCCCCAGAGGACCCAAGAGGCTCCAAGAAACGCCCAAGAAGCTTAAGAGGTCCCCAAGAGACCCGCAAAAACACAAAAAGAGTCCCCGAACACGCTCCAATGGGCACTCCAATAGAGCCCCATATTTCTGGCGTGTTCGCCTTTTGGGCTTCTACTGCGTCCAAGACGGCCCAAGAGGCACCCAAGCCGGTCGAGGAAGCCCCCCCACGAGGGGACCAAGACGGCCCCCGAGGCGCCCAAACCGCCCAAGAACGCCCCGAATCGGCGCCCAAGACGGGGAAGAGGAACCGAAGATTCGAGCGTTTTGGCCCAAGAGGCCCCCCAGGAGACCCCAAGAGGCTCCAAGATTCGCCCAATCCCCAAGAGGCCCCCATAAGAGCTTCCAAAAATACCATAAGAGGCCCCGAAGACGCCCCAACAGGCACCCCAATAGAGTGCCCCCAGCCCCGGGTGACACACCTCCCCGTGACAGCTCGGGAACGCTCCCGGTACCACTCCCCCGGGCGTTACGGGGGGCCTCCTCAGCGCTCCAGGAGGGCCCGAGACGCCTCCCAGGAGCTCCTGGAATGCGAAAGGATGGTCCAAAACGCTCCCAAGCAGCCCAAGTCAGCCTTCGACAGCTCTCGAGGCTCCCAGGTAACCTCCAAGAGACCCCAAGAGAGGTCCGAGAGGCGTCCCGGGACGGCCCGAAGAGGCCAAAATCGTAGATGTTCATTTGTTTTGTTTTCAATGTTTTTGGCTTCTCGCGTTTTCGAGCTTCCATCGGTCCAAGAGCGCCGACTAGGCTCCCAAGACCGCCCCAAGACCACCCAAGAGACCCTCAGGACGGCCCCAAGACGGGCCAAGAAGGCTCCAAGACTGCCGAAGAGGCGCCTAGGACAGCCCCAGACCACCCCAGAACAGGCCCAAGATGGGGCCAAGAGCGGGAGCAGGAGCCCCCCAAACACCCCCCATCCCTGAGAGGCCCCAGAAATACTCCGACGAGGCTCCCAGAACAGCCCTAGAGAGCTGTGAGAGCCGTCCCGAGAGAGCCCAAAGAGGGTAGCATCGTTGATGTCTCATGGTTTTTCTAATGTTTTTCGCTTTCTCACGTTATCCCGCTTCCAACCCTCGAAGATCGAGGATTTTGAGAGAAAAAAAAAAAGGAATTCCCAGAATCCCCCCTTTTTTTCAAAGTGGGACTCCTACTCGGGGGTCCTACACATCCCCTGACATCTGGCCGGTACCGCGCCTCCCGGCTTCCCGGGGGGAGACCCCAAGTCGCCGAACGACAGCCCATGACGACCCCAAGGAGCCCCCAGAACGTGAAGAACGGCCCAACACGCTCCCGCGCAGCCCGCGACACCCTTCCGACGGCTCTCCAGGCCTCCAGGAGGCCTCCAGAACCCCCAGGGAGTCCAGAAAATCCCACACCCCTGAGGGGCCCGACTAACAAAACCCGCGAGGCACAAACAAAAAACAGCGCCGAACAGCGCCGAGGAATTGGAAAAACATGGAAATCCCACAATTCCTATTTTTTTTGTCAAGTTTGGTCCCCGGTCTACTCTTGCACGACAGACCACAATTCAGACCCCCCTCACCTCCCGAAAAAAAAAACAGGAAGCCTTTGAGGGCCCCAAATCGTTGAATATCTCAAGGGAATTAATGACTTCTGCGTTTCCGCGTTTCCCCTTCTATACGATTCCGAGGCTTGCGCAGGGCCTCCAAGGGAGTCCCTGGACGCAAGAAGCGACCAAAATGAGATGACATGAGTTAGCTTATCAAGCCTAGCTAGAACTTGAACGCGCACGAAGACGCACAAGGAGAGGCCCAAAGAGCTTTAATAATGCCCGGATCACACCTCGAAGTAACCCCCAGAAAGCCCCAAGAGATAGCTCAGGTGCCCCAAGGGATCCACGAGACGTTGAACACATCCCCAAGCAAGCCCCCGAATAACCCAGACATGCGCCCAAAAGGCGAAGCGAGCGACAAACCAGATGATTGGCATTCTTCGTGTGAAACCTTGCTTTAGGATGGGCTGATGTGGACATTCGAAGCGCTAATAATTAGAAAAGGTGTGGTGGAGGATGCGGAGCAGGAGAAGGAGCGGAGTGAAGACCAGAAAGGGGGGCATTGAGGACGGAGAGGGCAGGAGAGAATAGTTGGGGGATGAGAGACATGAAAGGGAGCGGGGCGTGGGCAAAGACAAAGCATGGGAAGTGTAATCGTATATCTGAGCTTATAGACGTTGTCCTCCCCCCCTCCCCTCCCTCGTCATCTCCATTCTTTTTTGCGTGCGCAACAAGGGCAATCAATCTCTACTGAAGTCGAAACAGACCCATCTCCCTAGTCAGGCGGAACAGCCACAGGCAAAATCATCATCTTTTTCAGCCGATCTGACTTGAACGATGGCATGCGAATGTGGGGAGCTGTCATGGATTCGCCCGCCTGCTTGTTATCATAAATAATGAGCACTTTCTTGTGATCGTCTCCCCTGAGCCCCCCAACGAAAGTATTGCTGATGAGATTGCCCATAGCTTGGCTCGTGCTGCCTTCCACGATGATGGCAACGTGGTCCGAAACTTTCTGACGGGCAGCGGTCTCGATGGTCTCGAGCGTGTGCTTAGCATCCTCTGACAAGCAAGCCAATTTCTCGAAGATCTTCCATTTCTTCTCGAGCACATCCCTCATGCTGGCTGTCTGCTCACCAAGGCGGTCCGAGAGGCTACCTGGGCCCCCCTTCTTCATGGCGAAGCCGAGCGCGATGGAATGGTTCTCTGCGTCATCGGTGACTTCCACTGGCGCCCGGCGAGCCGACTCCGGAACAGTACCGAGATGGCTGTGCGATTGCTCGATCAGTCTGGTCAACACTTCTTTGATCTCCGTCCTGTCGAACAGCTCCTCCATGGAGCTGTTGAAGCGAACCGCGTTCTTGATGGGGCCGTCGTAGTCGATGCCATGCACCAGCTCCTCTGAGGCAATAAAAACTTAAACAGGTTAGAGGTCCTCCTTATCCTCCTCCTCGTCTTCCCCCCTCATCCTTATCATCCTCCTCCTCCCCCCCCTCCTCAACCCTCATCCTTGCCCGCGTTGCGCATGCCTCCTGGGGGGGGGGGGCAACGACGGCATAGGCATAATGGACGATGGCAACACTAAATTGGAAACCCCGCTGTCCGCGAACATCTTGATGAGCTCTTGCAGAGGCTTCGCGTGTTTGTGAAGCCAGACCTTGGAGAGCTGCTCGTGATCATATCCGAAGACAGAACGGTACTTGCCATGAGATCCAATGCACGAAGCCACCAGCCCCTTCTCCTCGCTGTCGTAATTCAGAGGAGCCAGCACGCTTGCCAAACAGTATTTCATGACCTGCATCTTGTAAAGGATGAGGTCGGCCATCCCCCTGTTGTTCGGCATGCCCTTTCCTGACAACGCACGGACGCTGAAAGCAGACGCGGGCTGGTGCCCATTCGTCACCAAGTCCGTCACCCCGTGCAGCACCCACCTCAGGTTGATCACGCCCTGCTCCCTCTGGCCACACTTCTTCGCGGCCGCCTCGAGCTTGTGCGCGCTGTCCCATGGGGTGCGCTTCCCCCAGGTGTTCTCAGCGTCCATGACTATGGTCCTGCACTCATCGTCTGCCAAGACGCGAAAGTAAACGGTGAGTGCTGCATCCACGAAGCCATCGGTGAACTTTTCGCCCGCGCTGCTCATGTCGCAATGCTCCTGCCACGCAGCCGACGCCAGCTTCGCATTCAGTTCCTTGCCCAAGCGACGCTCCTCGCTCATCTTCCAGTGGGCGACTTCGAAGATGCGCTGCACTGCGCGACGTTGGTATCATTCTGCGTCCACTCTTACCCGCCCCTCAACCTTTTCGCTAGTGGCCACGCTGGGCCACGTTGGACCCACCGACAAGACAGGGCCACATTGAGATCGCCGACCCGCAGGGGACCAGGGGGCAAGGATGGGCCACGCTGGGCCGCCGACCAGAAGGGAGGGGCATGAAAACGAACCCGATGTTTAGATGAGTGTCCTGCAGGACGATACACTGCCACGTACCTCGTGCCAATCCTCTCACGGAGGTTCACCGCCCTCCAGTGCCGGACGGCTCGTTCTCAAGGAAAATGAATTCCATGGGGCAGGAAAGAGCACACTGGCGCCAAGCAGCGGCGCGGTCTGCGTCGTTGCCAACCTTCTTCAAGTCCTCGGCCGCTGCAAGGAAGAACGCGTAGACCATTTCTTGTGGCGCTTAGGGTTCGTCAACCACTCCAACCATCATCCTCCAAACGTCCTCCTCCTCCACCTCCCCCCCCCTCCCCCTCATTTTCCTTCCCCTCCTTCTCCTCCCCCTCGCCCCCCCCCCCCCCCCCTCCGCCCCCCCCCCCCCCCGCCCCCCCCGCCACCCGCCCGCGCCCCGCCAGCCCTCTGGGCGCAGGTGGTCTAGGGCGCGCCCCTGTCCAACCTAATGCCTTTCCCTGCTCGGGGGGCGTTTGGGCGGGGGGGGGGGTGCATAGCAGCGCCCAAGATTGCCCGAGATGGCTCCCAGAGGGCATCCGAGAGCGCAAGATGGCCTCCATGATGGCCCAATATAGCGGTAGACGGGTCAAGATAGCCTCCGACACGCGTCCAAGATGCTTGAAGACGGCCCCAAGACGGTTTCAAGTGCCCTCCGAGGCCTCCAAGGACCCCCCAAGAGGCCAACATCTTTTTAACACCTAAAGACAATCAATGGTTTTTGCCGTCTCGCATTTTCGCCTCCGAAGGGCTCTCGAGGCCTCAAGATGGCCCCAAGATGGCCCGAGACAGCCCCAAGAGGGGCCCAAGAGAGCCCCAAGACGGCCCCCAAAGCGCCCAAGGGCGCGCCAAGAGCGGGCCAAGAGGGCCCCAAGACGGCATGTTTGAGCCTCCGATGGGGGGGCGGGCGGGCGGGGGCAAGAATTGAGCCCCCTCCCCCCCCACCCCCCCTCCTTTCTTTAGCCATGAGGGCCAAGGCGGCCCCAGTAGGCCCCTCGGGCACCCCAAGAGAGCCCCACGAAGGCCCCAAGACCCGCCTAAAGAGCCCCAGGAGGGCACCAAGACGCCCCAAAAGAACCCCAAGTAGCCCCAATAAGGCCTTAAGATAACCTCAGGAGAGCCCCAAGAAAGAGCCCCATGAGGCCCCAGGAGGGGCCCACGAGAATCCCAAGAGAGCCCCAAGATGCCTCCAAGTTTCGGAACGCACGCGAGCTTAAGGCACAACTCAGTGCAACAGCCATTACGAGTCATCGAAACACCCCTCACCCCTCATCGAAGCACCATTGTGACTTGCACCGATTCCCATCTTAAACTTCAATGCGGGAAGCTATGCGTGATCCTTGTTTTCTCGAAGACGGCTGCGCGACTGCATGCGCCTTGCCGCCCCTGATTCACCAACTCCCCTGCTGATCGGTTCTGGACGGGCTAGTGGGGATGCGCGAAGCGTCAAACATTCTCATCGTAGCCCCTCATTCTTGCCCTCTACCCCCTCGCCCTCAGGAGCGGCAGATCGAAGTGGAAGAGAAGGGGGGCACAGGGGGAAGAGGGCGATGGAAGAGGTGGAGGATGAGGGAGAGGAGGGGGAAGAAGGACGATGCGGATGACCAGGAGGAGGAGAACGAAGAGGAACGAGCAGGATAAGTAGCGCGAAGACAGATGGGGGAGAAGGCAGATGAGGACGGCACAAAGGGATGGAGGAGGACATTGCGAGGAAGGCTGGGAGAGAAAGCAGAGGAAGGATCGGGCAACGCGAGGATAAGGGAGGAGAATTGAGCTGGAAAGAGAAGCAAGAGGGGGAGGAGCACCCGGCCACGCATCGACCCACCTCAAGCGCAGGACTTCACCACCAGAGGGCGAACCAGCTCGCCTACTCGGTAGCGCCTGGAGGCACGCGTTGCTTTTATTTTATTTTGGGGGGATGAGGATAAGAAGGGGCAGGAGGAGAAGGGGAAGGAACAGCAAGGAGGAAAAAGAGGAGGCTTCGAAAGAGGACGTGCCCACGTCATTCGGCGTCCAGTCATCCTCATCCTCCTCCTCGTAATCCTCATCTGCCTCCTCGCAGACTCCTGTCATCCTCCCTCTCACACCCCTGACCTCATCATTGTCGCCACCTTCCTCTCATCATCGATTGCACCCTCCAGGCCTCGGGGCTGATCCTGACCAGCCGACTGAAGCGGGCTGATGGCATCTCCTTCGACATCACAGCGACGCTGATAGTATCTGGGAAGACAGGAGGCGGGCCGTCGCCGAAGATCTCAGCTTTGATGACGTCAACGGAATGCTGGGTCACAGGCACTCCGGGCTGCACATTGAACGTCAAATCCACCCACCAAACATTGCCACAAGCCAAGTACGAGTTCCTGCTAGATAGAGCAGAAACAGCAGCGTCGTCGGCACACGGGGCCATGTGACCACCATCAGCCAGATTGGAGGGCGCGGCCGTGTGCATCCCCTCAAACTCAGGGAGGCTGTTGATGTAGTGATACGCGTTCAGGACGTCGGACATGAGCTTCGAGTTGTGCTGGTCGACGTGCGACGAGGTGGGTGCCGAGCTGCTAGCGCCAGAAGATGACTGCGCTGGCTTGACGAGCTTCTTGGTGCGGACTTGCTGGCGGCCGGCGCAGCGCGCCTCCCCGTGGCGACGGCCGCCCAGAATTCTGGCGGGCGGATCGTAAGATCACGCGAGCGAAGTGGCTTTCGAGCCAGAACTTAGCAGGACAGCTAACACATTCTCGTCATCATTCTCTTTGTCATCCCTCCATGCCCCTCCTTCGCCTACCCACGCTACCCTCTGCCCCATCAATGCCAAGGCCTCCTCCTCCCCCCTGGCAGTGACCCAAGGTAAAACATGTCCAAAGGGGACCAGAGGATGCAGCATCATTGACTGCGAGGCGCCATCAGTCATTGACTGTCCAGGGGCCAAGCGCTGCGACATCATTCATTGACTGTCCACCAGCTGTCATCATCTTCTTTTCATGTGTACTACTCCCTGGCTATCCCCATATCATCCCTCGTCCCTTCCCATTGACCTTCACCGCATTTGGTCCACCAAGCCAAGTACCCCTATCATTCCAGAGCGACAGGCCATGCCTCAAATATCTTGGGGGGCTTTGTGGAGCATTTGATTAAATCAACGCAGCTGAGGCTGGAAGAAGGGATAAAGGTCAACGAGGGGGGGGGGGGGGGCAAGAAGGGAGTGGGGGATTATAAAGGAGGTGGAGTTTCAGGATGCGTCTTGAAATTGATTAGCCCCCCGACCCTCAGCGCGACGACAACGGCCGAAACATTGCGACGAGCACCTTGATCATGCGTGAAGCTCCGGAGAGCGCCCGACTGTTCCAAGGCGCGGGGTAATTTACCCCACTCCTTGGAACAGTCACCGCCCTCACTGCTGCTCGTGGAACATATCGACGCCGCCCCTGGTGAGTCTGAAAGCATTCGACCATGATGACCTTCGGGGACGTCCCCGACTGTTCTAAGGACCTGAGTAAATCATGAATGATATAACGTCGTTACCCATGTCCTTAGAACAGTCGGGGACGTCCCCGACAGTCGGGGGACGTCCCCGACTGTTCTAAGGACATGGGTAACGACGTTATATCATTCATGATTTACTCAGGTCCTTAGAACAGTCGGGGACGTCCCCGATTGACTGTTCTAAGGGAATGGGTAACGTGATGATTGTACGTCGTTACGCATATCCTTAGAACAGTCAGGGACGTCCCCGAGGAGGTTTCGCCAGTCGGGGACGTCCCCGACTGTTCTAAGGGCATGGGTAACGGTAGTACCATTGCCCTTAGAACAGTCGGGGACGTCCCCGACTGCCGAAGCCTCCTCGGGGACCCCCTTCCACTGTTCTAACGATATTGGTAAGGGCGTACTGTCATTACGATACACATGTTCTTAGAACAGTCGGGGACGTCCCCGACTGGCGAGGGGGCTTCCACAAACGGGGGCGTCCCCGATTGGTGAATCCTCCGAGCCTGTCGGGGACGTCCCCGACTGTTCGAAGGATATGTGTAGCAATGTAAGCATTTCTTTACCCATGCCCGTAGAACAGTCGGGGACGTCCCCGACGCAGATTCGATTGTCGGGGATGTCTTCTACTGGCGAAACCTCTTCGCCTGTCGGGGGCGTCCCCATGCTGTGAATGATATGGGTAACTGCGTAATAGCATTACGTTACCCATACCCTTAGAACAGTCGGGGATGTTCCTGACTGCCGAAGCCACCTCGCAAATTGGGGACGTTCCCGACTGGCGAAGTCCCTTCGTGACGTCCTCGACTGCGCCAAGGGCGGCGTGGGTAAGCTGCGTGGGGGCATTGGGGATGAGGAAGAGAAAATAGACGACGTGACCTGGCATCCCCCTCATCCTCCTCCTCTACTTCATCTTCATCCTTGTCCACCCTCGCCTTCTCGTCCTGATTCTTCTTTCCTTGCGCTTTCGCCCTCGCCTCGGCTCGATGGCACGTGGCATCTGAGAAGCCCCTCAGTCTGGGGGCACATGGCACCGGAGGTCCTGACAAACCTTTGCCGTTTCAACTGCCCAGATCATGTGATGCTGCTGCTGCTGATGCTGCTGCTCGTCGTCGTCGTCCTTCTCCTCTGTCATTCCTCCTCTCTCCTCTGCGGCGCCACGAGCAGGCGCGGTGGCTCCTGGGGTGGCAGCCGCGCGCTGCGCCGGCGCCGAGGCCACGCCCTGCCGGCGGGCGGGATAGCACGAAGGATCGAGATGGGCAGATGGCAAACAAGAGAACACATGGGGATAACCAGGA